GTCTCATAACATATTTCACAACTTGGTGACAGATATAGATTTATTTAAGAAAAGTTATATAATATAGCTTTAATCTGTATATGAGAGAGAAACAAGAGAAATGATTGGCATTTTTTCAGTTTTACACATTTGCACATTGTTTTGAATTAGCACATTTAAAAACAACATAAATGTATGTACTGTTCATGAACGGCAGAGAAAATACAATTTTAATCGACTTTGATTAATTGTTTGAAATTCAGCGATTACTACACAGAAGTACTAAATAAAGATGTTAATGTTTAGTCCAGTTCTGTATGTTAAATATCTACCGGTAGGTGTTTTTATGTGAATGTGGGTCTTTTAGATAAATTTTTGTGATTTTCATCATGTTTCACATTTTATTGTCACATACTGGCACTGGTCTTGGTCTTGACTTGGTCTTGGACCCTAAAAGTCTTGGTCTTGTCTTGGTCTCAGGTTAGGTGGTCTTGACCACAACGCTGTTGTTAATATTATGTTATATATTTCATGCTTCCATGTTTTTGTTTCTACTTTGTCTTTGTACAGATACTTTCTTGGACTGCTTATAATGACAATAAAGGCATTCTGATTCAGATTTTGCAACTACGGCTAATATGTCTCCTGTCAAACTCCAGGTCTCGGTTCTCAATTATGATTTCATTTTTGTCTAAATACAGATATTTTTACATGTCATGCATACCACCAGTTGTATATGACAACCATCCAGTCTGAACTGATGAGGACATCAATGCAACCCAAAGTACCACATATGGAGGGGACACAATTTGGATTTTTTTATTTAGCTTTGAAAACATTGGAATCAGGTTGTCCAGAATGTGTGAAAAAGTTGGACATGAGTCGCATATCCACACAAAAAATGGATTTCGGTCACATTTGCTTGCAGTGTGACCATAGCATAAGTTAAGTAAGATGTAAGTAATCCAGCCACATATATGTCTGCAGCTTTCTTCAAAAGATCAGGAGATTGGTCGTAGATTCATGGAGCAATAACAAATAACAACTTCTAACTTAAAAACATCAGTTAAGATTGTAACATGTGCAGAACCAGTAGTTTAAGTCTGTGACATATGCACATGTAGTCATGGTAATGCTTTTGCAGGTAAATGCCAAGAAAAGCTAATGGATTGGACCTTTCCTGAAAAAAATATTTGCCATCTGAAAGCCCTTAATGTAGATGCTTCATCATCTACAATGTTATTCAAAGAAAGGGAATCCTTTGTAAATGGAATTTTAATTATGAAGGGTTGGCCTAACTACAGTACATTTATTTACAACACATTT